ATGTTGTTTACATATTTTATTTTGCTCTTTACATTAAATTTGGAACTATCTAATATTGCGCACCTTACGTGCAGGTAATGAAAGTTATGATTAAGTTTGGCGGAGTGATATACAAGATGTGAGATGCCACTATTGTTGTCGATGTTCAGTTATCCTACATTCTTTTTCGGCAATTAAAGTGGATCGAGTTACACAGAGAAGCTGTCCCTGTGCTTTTTACTTCACCCACAGCCCTTTGATAGTTTATTCAGAAACTAGTTAGTTAATAGGTAAGACAGGAGAGAAAAACCTGCCTTACATACACTAATATCCCACTACTAATTCAAACATGACAATATCCTGAATTTGATACAGAATATTCCATTTGGATATGGATTCTAGCATTTTCCAATTAAGATGTTTGAAAGCTTTCTCTGACATGTATACAGCACATCTGAAAATGTGTCTCAGTTGGGGTTTTTACTGCAGTTTGTGACCTACAGCCCCTGGCTTGTTTATAGTCAGTTCTGTGAGTTGTACACAAGCCAGCTGACAAAAAGGTCGAAAGGTGGGGGTAGAGATGCATGCCTAAAGGAAAAGCCCACATTTCTGGTCAGAAGGAGAACACACCTACTTTTAAACATTATGAAAGACTTGGCTATCAACAGGTTTTTGGTAACGTGCAAATATTCTAACGCCAAACTTTCCAAGAAGGTGACTGAAGAAATGAAAGACTATACGGTCGATCAAGTCTGCCACTGGTGGAAAACTCTAAAAAACACAACAACGTATTTTGACACATATAGCAAAATGGCACAAGCTGTTCCACTTTGCTATATCATGACATGCCATGGGGGCATTTTATGTTATTAGGAGTATCCACAAGGGGTGGGCAATATAGCCTTAAAATAATATTATAACATTTGAGGGGATTTTTGCAGTAACAATATTCTTGATGATATGACAAATTAGTAAAACAAAAAGTATTATTAATTTAAGAAAATAGAACTGCAACAAAATAAGTGATATAGTTTTACAGTTTGCCTTCAGATATTCAGAAAAAAATAAAGAAAAATGATCTCTCATTTCTTTAGTTTTCTGAACAACAGTAACTCAGAGTGAGATTCAGATTCTGTTACAATATTAATAGTTCAACAAAATAAAATATAAAAAATGTCCCCAGGGATCTAAATCAACAGGTGATTTCCTTCTTTTAGTAAAATCCTAAATGATTGAGTTGTTGTTTTCCACCTGGACTTTTATGCTCTGCCATTTCTCCTCTCATCATCATGCTGTAACCTGTGACAGGTTGTTATGATACCATAACTATTACATGTTCACTTATATTTTTTTGTCGAGCCGTGAGCGTCACGTATTAACATTACTAAAGGTTTACGTTTATGACAACACCGACCCTCGTGTGCACACGGCGAGAGAGGAGAGGGAGAGACTCTGTGCTGCTGCCAGAGGAGCCGCTGAATGAGTTCCCTCTGGGCGGTAAGTCAGTTTACAGTGATTAACAATAGTCCCCAACAAATGCACTATTAACTCTTGTTTGATTAACATCTGCTAAAAACTAGCTGTTTCAATAATGTTCTAAGCTGTCCTTAACCTTTTAAAACAGTGTGTATTTATGAGTCATTTTTGAAAAGACTTACACGACCTTAGCTGGAACGAATGGGTGTGAAATTTCATGCCATAGACGGGGTAGGGAATTTGGAAACTGTTTTGGACTAGCCTATTGTTGGTTTTAGTCTTTTCATGGGATTTGTTGAAAATAAGTAACACAGTGCTCCCCCTTTCTGTCTCACAAACCCTGATCTCCAATCTGTGTCCCTGTGTGATTACATCTCCTTGTGGCACAGGCATCACAGTCCAAGCTATCATACGTCCGGAGAGAATGTCTCTCATCTTGCAGATTTACTTAATTAGAGTCTATTTTTAGTCAAGCCACAAGCAACCCAAGCAGGTTCTCAACTAAAGCCCCTGCAGCATTGTCTCCGTCTGCAACAAGCTGCTGACTCGCACTCGGATGGAAGTCATGCATCACGTTTGGCTTGTCACCGAGTGGATTAGGAGAGTAGGGTTATTAGCAACAGGAGGGACGGCTGCAGAAGGCACTTCTCTCAGCAGGCTGGTGGTTGTTGTGGCTGAGTACGCTGATGACAACCTGACATTACTGAAAGTGCGTCACCAGCCCAGCAAGCGTGCAGTGGACACAGAGCAAGTACTGAGTGTTTATATACAGGTCAGACGTCAGTTTATCTTAACAATAACACTGGAAATGGACAGTCAGTATAATAGGGATTCTCTAATTGCTCTGCCCGGGGGACACATTTGCAAA